AGAAGAGAAATACAGATGCACAGGATTTTGTTTGAAGTACTTATTATGATTTGAGAACAATTACACTTGTATTTTTGGTAAAATTAGGCATTTTGAACCAGATTTTAATCTTCCTCAATTCAAAAACACACATAACAAAATAAATAGATTTGTGGAGAGATAAAGTTTGAATTTCCCAGCCAGTTATCTTATTAACGTCTTCCAGATTCTAAAGACAAGGACAAGCTAGAATTCAGTACTTTATTCAACATGATCAAGAATCAACAACGAAAGAGAAGTCTTTTAGGTTTAACTATTTTACCCAGGGGAAATTAACATGTCAAGGCTGCTTTCCTGTAGAGTTTGAGGCAGATACTGTAGGCACTTTGAGAAAGGGAAAGATGGTATTTGAGAATCGGACCAGTCAGATACACTGGAGTGGTCCATCCTGGTATTGCGCATTCCTAAGTAACATTTTCGCAAAAATCATCCAAGTGGAAAAAATAAGATAAAACATAGATTACTTCATAAAAAAATTCAACTTGTTTATCTTCAGGCGTTGGCACAGAAGTATAAACATTCTCCAATGCATTATTAGAATTCCAGTTGATAAAAACCAAGGCTAAATTGCCACACAGATCATTGATGAATAATGTAGTCTGAAATCAAATTGCAAAGACAGTATTCGTTTTGTTGTGAAACGAAAAGTTAAAAACAAGTACTTTTCATTTCACTTCCTCAAATATGAAGGTTAAATTATCTTGCATTACATTAGCACCAGTTGGCAGAGGGCTCCGGAGATGTAAATCATCTGTGTAGAAAGTGAATGCTATGTTTGAAAATCCAAGAGTTTGAACAGCTGTTTATTATCACTTGTGTAATAATGAGACTGAACTTTGATTTGAAGAGTGCTGGAGTACACAATCCCTTAATCACATTTTTTGAGCTAAATTGAACAAAACAAATCTCAAACTATTTTGAAATTCAGAAGAGGAAGAGTTTATTGTCCGGGAAAAATAAACTCTCCAGGTAACTTTTTACATTGCAACTATGTTTTTATGAAACAGTGTAATAGGATTTCCATTAAAACAACATACACTTTTAATCCAAATTTCAAATATATAACAGTTTGCAAAAATACACATTACTTCCAATCTTATGCATCCAATTCAGTATGGAAACAATCCCATAGGAGACTATTTGATCTCAGGGACAAATGGACTACTCCCAAGACTCATCCATCTACATAATGCTCATAAAAGAGATATTCTAGCAATCTGAAAATAGTGAGGCTAACAAAACGTGGACAGAAAGTTTACAATGATTTATAAACAGCATTGCTACAAACAAAACTTAACTGACAAGATTCAATAATCCCTACTTGAGGTCTAAAAAAGGATTAAAACTAAGAGAAAGGGATTTGCAGACTACACAACTTCCAAATCATTTACGGTTTCTTTTTTCTCAAATGTAATCTTTTTCGAATCTCAGGAAAATTACTTTATTCTTTAGTCAATTTTCTATAATCATGCAGTGTTTGCACAACCATTGAGGAGCTTTCTCCAGGGATTACCCCCAGGTGATTAACCTTACAAGCACAAAGCACTCTAATCAACAGAAATGTCTGGCAATTTATCGGATATCAGAATGCCTCAAAGATGGAGCCAATAATCAAAAAAATAATCATTCATTTTGTTAGATATTTCAATCAGTTGCACCTTGAAAAAAATATTGTTCAATGGATTAAAATCTCTTTCAAGCAAGCCCAATTCTGACATACTAAGTAAAAGTACACCCAATAAACTTTCTCTCCGATTAAAGTTCTTGACAGTCTACTCTTGTCAATAACGAGTCTCAAAAATGCAATAGCAATTAAGGTATGAACAGAAGCATTTGCAAGTGTGATGTACACAATATTAATGTCGCCATAAATTAAAAAGCATTCTGATGCCATGTCTAATAACAGATGGATTTAAAATAGTAAAGTTCCCCTCCCATCCCCTAGAGAGTGAATACCAGAGGAATATCTGGGAATATCTACTGAACATGATATCAAGTAGATTAGTGGAACTCAAGAAATTCCCCTCTACAGGGAAAAATAATTTCTACTAAAACGCCCCACAACTCCAGTGCCAACGTTGATCTTATGCCTTATGCCTCCTACTGATTTAACAACCAATGGGCATAATATTTCACTATCTAAGGTTAAAATAAATGATTCAGTTACTCTGCTGATATTAATCTGAAAATAATTACCAATATCTGGTTAATGGGCAGAAGCAACCTGCAGGAACTTGACTGATATACAACTGGTTCAACCAATTTCAACAAAAGCATTTAGTGGATGTCTTTATATTTAGCACCGGATCAAAATGTATAAAAGCCAGTTTGGACTATCAGAAGCTGCTTCATTTAAACAGATGGTATGGAAAGATTAAAGGTCAGAGATTTGTTCAGAATTTTACAAAATAAAACCAAACAGCAGGAAACAAATAGAAATCAGTACCATTTAAAAAAAAACTTTTAACATTTTTCTTCTTCATCTTATCCATCACCACAGGAAGCCATGCCCCATCTGAGGGGACAGGGCCAACTTGATGTGCTGTAACTAGGAAGTGTGTGACAAAGACAGTATTAAGTCTTCTGTCTCTCTCGTACATGTGTCGCTTCCTGTTGACAACTAATCAAGACTTAGAGGAAAGTAATGCACATGTAACTTATCGCACTATTGAAATTATCCAATCATTAAAACTCCCTAAGTTAGCAACTTTATGGAGGATGATTACGCTCCCTGGAATTTTGGATTCAGCAGCTTATTTAGGTTAGTTTCTTTCGAATACACTTTTTGGCATGCACTATGTTTTGTTTTTAAAAAACAGTCAATTCACTTTTTGCTTAGCCCATCTCACTGAGTTTTAGGAGAAGATGCCAGTTCAAAACTTTGATACAACTACCACCAAAATACAATTTACAGGAAGAGACTTGTGATAACAGTGCATAATGGTATCTACACCACCATAACCCTCGAGAAAGATGGGAGGCAGTTTTCGCTATTGTCTAATAATTAAAATTCTAGATATTATTTAATGGCCGTAGGAATAAGACGAGTGATCAAGTTGTCTGTAACCAGGCACCACTTTATTTTTGCATCTTTTTAAACCTGGACTAATCATTCTACACTCAGCATAAATGGCAAAATGAAAATTGAAACGATACGTCACAATTTAAAAGATTATAAAAACGCACATTCCAGCTTCTTAAATTACTAAAAACATAACATGTAGGAGCAGGAGTAGACCATTCGGCCCTTCGAGCCTGCCCCGCCATTCAATCATGGCTGATCTTCTAATCTAACTCCAGCTAATAACCTGACCCTGCCTTATCCCTATTATATTATACTTTGCCATTATGTTTTTTCTCCCTCATGTTTAAAATATAAGTGATGCCTGCAATTTTCACTATTCCAGTCAAGTGGGCCATTATACAATAATACTCAAATAAATACCAAATTTGGTATACTACTACTAATAAATAATAATCCTTGGATTTGATATAGCGTCTTATCACATTGTTGAGACATCTCAAAGCGCTTCACAGAATAGACCGCGAAGTGGATCGAATGTATATTTTGTGGGCAGACTACAACTGTTCTCTCTTAACAGTATTGAGTAACAGAGAAGCAAATTGAGCCAAAGGTTTGCAGACCTGGCACCGTTTTTACAAATCTGTATGAAAAGAAGTCTTATACCTTAGAGAATAAATTATTAATGAATTATATAAAGGATAACTAATTTGTACATACCAATTTCGCTCGACTGCTTTGAGTTGTTGAGGACAGTCTACTTTCATCGAGCTTGAACATGATATAGATAGATAAATAAATAGATTTGCTGTGATAAAGAGGGTATTTACCATTATGATGTTGAATATGGTATATCAACAAATGAATAAGGGGTGGTGGGGTGACCTAATAACTAGAGCGTAGTAGTGCAGCAAATCCTCCTCAAACACATGCTGAATACATACCTTATTCCAAATGTAAAATATTTGTATTTCCCCCTTCCAAAACAATCATTGTGTTCATAGCAGACCCACAACTACTCATCTAGTACTTGTTGAGGAAACCTCACTTCCCAGTTGGCACTTCAAGAAGTAGAAGTGCATTCAAAAGAGACCCAGTAAATATGACTTGTTTGAATTGAAAAGCGGCAATTATTTACCTCCACTCAAATACTTGTGAAGATGATCCAATGGTTTGAATGAAGATATACCAGAAAAAACAACAAAATTACATTTGTATCGCGCCTTTCACATCGGGAGGATGTACCAAGGTACTGGAAAGACAAGTTATGGACCTGAGCTGAGGGTCGGGGTGAGAGAGGGACGAGGGCAACGGGAAGCAAGGAGATCAAAAGCATGGTCGAAGAGGAGCTCTTGAGGCAGGTCTCGAAGATGCCAAGGGAGGGGGTGAGACGGAGGGAGTGCAGGATGGAGTTCCAGAGGATGGGTGCAGAGTGGTGAAGGTCTGCCCGCCGATAGTGGGGTGAGCGAGGTGGGGGACGTGAAGCAAGCCAGAGCCTGCTGAGCAGCGGGAGCGAACAGGATGGTAGGGGGTTAGGAGGTCGGAGAGGTAGGGGAGAGCAAAACCATGGAGGGCTTTGAAGGTGAGGACCAGAATCTTGAACTGTATCCTCTGTGTGATGGGAAGCCAGTGGAGTTGGGCGAGGATGGAGGGGATAGGGTCACGGAGCCTAGTGCGGGAGAGGACACGGGCTGCAGAGTTCTGGATGATCTGCAGCCTGTGGAGGGAGGAGTTGGGGAGTCCGACAAGCAAGGAGTATGCATAGTCGAGCCTCCATGTATTGAAGGCATGTATGAGGGTTTCGGAAGCCTGCGGTGTGAGACATTTTTGGAGCCGGGCTATGTTGCGGAGGTGGGGAAAGGCATAGTGGGGCCATAGCACAGAAATGATAGTTGAGGGTTAAACAAGACCCCAAAAACAGCCCTAGCATCTCACTTACCTTTACTACGAGAGCGGCCAACTTCTTTCCCCAGGTTATTTCTGTGATGTTTGGTCGACAAGCGTTTCATCTGCTTTCGTGTACAAGGTGGTGAAGTTCCGTAAAATCCTTCAGTGTTGTCTTCATCAGAACAGTCATCTGGTTCAGCATTTTCAGAGGCAACCTCTTCTGATGATTTGTCTTCCCTGAAAAAGATATTGCCAAAGCAGTTTTAAAGCCAACTTATTTTCCTTAGCACTGGTTCAAGGAATAGGGTTGCAGCCCATACTAGCAAGTACTATTAAACGCTGGAAAAGAAAATACCTCAAAAACAACCAGATAAGCAAACCACAGTTGGTACTTGGGTGGAGAAAAGAGTTCTATATTTGGATACAGAATGTCAATATTGTGTCTGGCTCAATATGCACACTTCACCAGCATTTGTTAAAAAAATATATATTTTAAAAATGACGCAAGGTGTTCCATTCAGTGCCCGTGTTGAAAAGATAGGACTCTTTAGTCACCGCTGTTACTTAGTAAATTAACATTAAAACAAACAGAAGTATTTTTGAGTAAACTGCTCTTCTCAGAACATAATTTTATTTTCCAGTAAAATCCCCACAACCTTGCTTCATGTAAAACTAGCTTCTTCAGTCATGATATGCTAAGTAACACAAACAGAACAGACACTAATAATGGATGACAAACCTTCAATGACAAAACTCAAAAAATGGAAAACTTGTACACTTTCAGGGAAAAAAAATGTTATTCATGCTCAAACAAGATAGGCATGTAGCCCAATCCTAACCCATTTTGCTTATCTATAAAAAATCTATTCCAAGAACAACCACCACAAATTTACATTTGTAGAGCGCCTTTCACATCGGGAGGACGTCCCAAAGCGCTGAACAGTCAGGTGTCGGGGCCTGAGCATGGGGGAGGGGTGGTGTAGGGGTGAGAGAAGGCAGAGAGGTGGGAGGGAGACCAAAGGCACGGTCGAAGAGAAGGGTCTTGAGACCGGCCTTGAAGGAGGCAAAGGAGGAAGTGAGGCGAAGGGACCGTGGGATGGAGCTCCAGAGTGGCGGAGGCAGAGAGGCTGAAAGCCCGGCCACCGATGGTCGGGTGGGAGACATGGAGCAGACCGGAGGCCACTAAATGGAGGGAGCGGGCAGGTTGGTAGCGAGTCAACAGGTCAGAGAGGTAGGAGGGGGCAAGGCCATGGATGGCCTTAAAGGTGAGGATGAGGATCTTGAACTTGATCCTCTGGGGAATGGGGAGCCAGTGGAGTCGAGCGAGGGTGGGAGTGATGGGGTCACGGAGCCCCTGGTGTGTGAGAGTACACAAGCTGTAGCGTTTGGATGATCTGCAGCTTGTGAAGGAAGAGTTGGGAAGGCCGATGAGGAGGGAGTTTCCGTAGTCGAGCCTTGATGTGACGAATGCGTGGGTGAGGGTTTCGGCAGCCTGAGGGGGTGAGGCAGTGGCGGAGTCTGGCAATGTTGCGGAGGTGGTGGTAGGCAGTGCCAGTTATAGCGAGGATGTGGGGGAGAACACACTAACCTCATGAGGACTTCTGAATTCAAGCAGTTGGGAGTGTTAATCTAGATAAAACATTTGGGTTTTATGTCCAGATGAATAGAATATAAAAGAAAGGAAACAATGTTAAATTTATATAAAACTTGGTGAGACCACATTTGGAGTTCTGTGTGCAGTCACTATAATTCAAGAGGGATATCCTAGCAATAGAGAGTGCAGAGTAAGTTTATTAGGATGTTGTCCGGTAAGAGAGAGTAGATATTACAGTCAAACCTGTTTTCAGCAAACACTAAGGGCACTGCACCAAAGTGGCCTTTATGTAAGGGTGGCCTCCTTGGAAGGTTTCGTTTTTTCACTAACAGGGCACAAAACATTTTTTTTTAATTCCACTGGCCCGCATGTAGATTAACTCACTAGTGAAGCAGGAAGCTGTGGGCATCATGTCAGCATTGGTAAACCCACAAGGAATCTAACGAGAGGCTGCACGGGTGTCCGCAGAAAGTGGTGATACATTAGCAGTAAGTACACTTAAATTTACTTAGAACTGGCTGTTGAAAAGGATTTCTATACACCGACAGGGTTGCATTAGACTGATGGTTGCTGAAGAGGGTCTGCGGATCTCAAATCACGTGCTGAAAAAATCGGTCAGGACTGGTCCACGATGGTTGTTCACAGCAGGTGGTTGCTGAATAGAGGCGGTTGTTTCAATCGGTTTGACTGTATAAAGAATGCCTGGATAAGACTGAGCTTTAGTACCTTTAGTTCACTTAATTGGTTCAGTTAATCTTGGTGTGGTTGCAATTTTCCAGCACGTGATTTAAAAGCCACAGACTGAGCACTTCACAGTGAATTTCTAAGACAATATTGGGTATGGTAAATCAATCACCACCTCCTCCTCCTCCTCCTCAGCCAATGATTTTTTTCTTTTTAAGGGTTTGGTGCTAAAATTGCTGTTTGTGTTTTGGGAATGAAATTGCTTGAACCTCAGTTTTAAACTGAGCTGCAGCAAAACACTCGTGATCCTAAACTAAATTATATTAGTGTTAAATTTGCAAATGAGAATTTAGATATTTTCATTCAGATTGCCGACATCTCAAAGTGGTGACACTTGCAATATCTGAATCCAATTCGTCACTTGTCAAACCTGTTTAAAAAGGCCTGACTATTGAAAATCCTTATAAACTGGTTTCAAAAATGAGACAAAAAACTTGAGATTTTATGAAAGGTATCTGGAGACATGGCCTTTTGTGAGGGAATCTGATAGAGGTTTCGCATTTACAAACACAACTTGCAACAGCAAAAATTATGATCCAAAACATTCACAGTAACTTCCAGTAAGATACCTTACACCAACAGCAATTTTAGCACCAAACACTTAAAAAGAAAAACATCATTGACTGAGAGGGAGGTGGTGTTGTTTGGTTTACCATACCCAATAATGTCTTAGAAATTCACTATGAAGTGCTCGGTCTGTGGCTCTCAAATCACGTGCTGGAAAATTGCAACCACACCAAGATTAACTGAACCAATTAAGTGAACTAAAGTTACTAAACCTCAAGACGAGAGACAGAAAAAACACACCCACAGTAGCATTTGCAGTAAGCTTCAAGCAAGAACAGTTAATGTAGTTAAGATGTTACTACGCAGACTTAAATAGTTGATTAAAAATCTGCTTAGAAACATGACTGAAGGCCACAAACAGAGATGATCATATCCAATACTCCATGCACTGGCACCAAAGAAACAAAGTTATAGAAAGTGACTAGACAGAGCTCAACATAAGTTGCAAAGTTTGTCAGATGCTCTACAATTGTACTGAATTACCTCAATGGATGGATGGCAACAGGGATGGGGAGGGGGGGGGTGGGGGAGCCATCTACACATTATCTGAAGACTTACTGAGATAATGAACAGTATTTTTCCATTCAGGCTAAGGCAGTACAGTATAAATTTAAGACTTCACAATAGATTCAATTTAAGATTCAATTCTCAGGTATATATAAATTGAAAACTGATCAACCATTAAGGCGTTCTACTAGAACGTTTGTTTTGTTTTGTGTAACAGTAAATGACAAGCAACTTAACTGCAGGCATTTTCCTCAACTCCTTAAAAGATCGTCCAACAATCTGCCGACTTAACTTTTAAAATTGTCATCAGTGAATCACTACTTCTTGGTTTCTGATACCCATTTTAGACTTGGTAGTGGCTTGAACTAGGAGCCTCAGCCTTTGATCTAAGTTTTTGTTTAAATAATGTCATGTAATTGTTTTTGCAAGTGTGATCTGCAAAATATTACCCACTATTATTCTAATTTGACTGACAAAATTAATCCTTCAATCCACCCTCCCTGTGCTCCACCATCCCCGATCCCAACCCCCAGCTCGGGTCCAAATCCCTGACTGCCCAGCGCCTTGGGACGTCCTCCCAACATAAAAGGCACTGCACAAATATAATTTTATATTGTATGGTGAACAATCGAATGTCAAATACCTTACAAAAATGCAAGCCCTTGAAGACTCGAGAGTAATGAGGTCAAGAGGCACTGATCTTATCTTCCTTGTTTACTTAAATGTTACATTTTGCAAACTTCACTTGGAGGGTGCTCGCCATCAGCGTGTGGAATGATTCCCTAGGATTCAACGACCCAAATAACCCGTCATGATAAAATAAAGTAAATACGACCTTCAGATTTCCCTTTAGTCCACTCCAACAGCACATCTTTAAGAACTAGCTTACATTGAATGTCTTGTGCAAGTCTGTTTAAAGTTCATGACACATTGCAAAGCAGGTGATGTTAAGTTTTCCCACTATAGGACGGTCCCAATTTGTTTTTCTTTTGTAATGGATGACTCATATGGTACAAAATCAAAACAGGACAGGATCATCATCCATCTCAGATGTCCATATACACTTGGATCCCAGATATTTCTAATTACATGGAGCATTTCAATAACTTTCCCATCAGAATGTCTATCCTTGTGCTCAATATTACTCTCTCCTGGTCAAGGAGGGAGAGATAAACAAATACTCAGGCTCAGCATCTTCCAGACGCAGGAGGATAGTAACCAAGTTGCTAAGACAGGGAAGGATGGAAACCTTGTAAGGGAGCAGAGACTCCAGCCACCAATCTGTCCCTCATACACGGAAAATAATGAAGTATGCATTATGTGCCAAGTAACATTTTAATTGATAGCAAATGCTATCAATTGAAACATGCACTAATACGATCCATAGACGCAAACCAAGTGACCTTTTATTAAACCGAGGAGTTCTAGCTAATAACGTACATATAAAAACCTTTATAAATGATGTTTGTAGAAAGTACTCAACAAACTATTTTGTAGGCAAGAAACTAGAACCATGACAATCATTTACCAGATCAGCTGAGCCAGTCAGCTACCATTACCCAAAATGCGCTGATCCAATAAACAGAAAGCAAGCTACCAAAAAGAGTAGCTGCCTAACGTTTCAAAACTTCAGGTCACATAAGGCCACACACTTGAGGAAAATGCATGAACTTATGTTGAACTAAATTTAGACACCATTGTGGTTGAGCTTCTATAACTCTCAAAATCAAGCCTGCTGTCTTAAACAACCAAACCAGAAGCTCAGGAAAGATAAAAATAGCTGCAACGTGCATGCTTGTGGAACATGGTTTTAACCTTATATTCA